AACAAAGGTGGTATCCTTTTATCCCAATTCTGAGGACTCTCGACCACAAACTTCTTTAACATCTGCTTCAATGTCTGGTTAAAACACTCCACGAGCCCGTCCGTTTGGGGATGATATACTGTTGTCTTTAGGTGTTTAATCCCCAAAGCTTTACTCACTCCCTCAAACACACGTGATGTAAAATTTGTTCCTTGGTCTGTCAGCAGTTCTCTAGAGGGTCCCACTCGTGAAAATATTTTCAATAGCTTGTTTGCCACCTTGGGAGTGGACACTGTCCGCACTGGCACAGCCTCCAGGTACCTTGTTGCATAATCCAGTAAAACTAAAACATATTGGTTTCCAGTGCTGCTTCTGGGAAGTGGCCCCACGATGTCCACCGCCACCCGCTCAAAGGGAACCTCTACCAAGGGCATTGGATTTAAAGGAGCTTTTGGAGGGTGCCTTGGGTTCACTTTTTGGCACATGGGACATGAAGCACAATACCTCGCCACTTCCCACAACAGTCCTGGCCAAAAAAATCTTGCCCAAATGCAAGCTTTTGTTTTGTCCCTGCCCAAATGTCCGCCCATAGGGAGCTCAGGAGCCACCTTCAATAAAGCCCGTCGATATCGTTGAGGTACCAGCAACTGTACGACCTCCCCTCCTTCAGGCTTCCCTTGCTCAATTCGGTACAGGTGATCATTTCTTACCTCGAACCTGGGTGTTGTCTTCATCAGCTCCGGTCGTAATACCTCACCATTTCATTGAGCCAGGTGTTCCTGCCAAGCATACCGAAAATCTGCCTCCCAACTCTGCTCCAACTGGAAATGTGTCCCCTCCCACAAATGTGCGACATCCACCTTTTATTTGGCCTCCTCTTCGGGAGGAGGTTGTTCGGTTTCACCCACGAATCCCTCAGCCCTCAGATCATCTTCCCATCCAGCCTCAGGCTTCCTAGTCTCCCAGGGCCTCCAACAGCAACTTTCTCTCATCTCAGTCCCCTCCCTTTGCCTCACACTGGCTATCTCTGTCAACAACTCTGGCCAGTCACAGCCCAGTACTACTGTGTAGGGTAAGCGCTCAGCGACCCCAACTCGCAAATGGTGGGTCCTATCGCCTACTTGTAGGATGACCCCCACTCTGTCGACTTCGATGGAATCCCCGCACCAACACTGCACAATTACATGGTCCGCTACTTCCCTCTCTCTTGCCAGTAACACGTCGCTCTGCACCATGGTCTGCAATGAACCCGAGTCCAGCATAGCCCATACCTTTTTTCCCTCCATTGTCACTTCCACCGTCAATGCAGGTGGCTCGTCTCCCACCTCAGAGTCAACTCTGGCTCTGTAGCCACACATCCCTACCTGAGTTGTTGATTGCAGGTGGATGCTCCCGGTCATGTTGGCTAACAGTGCCTGTTGTCTTGCGGCTTGATCCTGTAGGCCTTGTGTTATTTGCCATAGCCGATCCGAGCTGCTGTGACTCTGGTTCCGGGACTAGCGTCTGCTCTCATTTCTCTAGTTTCTTTATGGACCCAAGGGTTCTTTTCCTCATACGGGCAAACCAGGGTCCTATGATGCATACTGCCGTATGAAATGTTCCCGGCCAATGCACCATTGTAACAGGGGGGCCTCCTCGGGGTCAGTCTACTGGTGGCCCCGCCCACCTGTTATGGGCCATCTGCCTGCCTTCTCGCCTGCCACACCTTGTTGTTAATTAATTGTTGTTAATTAAGCGGGAGGCTGCCCATTGTATGCCCAGATGCCAGGGGGCGCTATCTGCGGCTCTGTTCATCCCCTACACCGCAGCCCAAGCCTCGCAGATGGTATTTGTAAATTCCTCTTTATGTTGGGGTCTCGGTCACTGTGGGCCTACCCCTTTTTTTCTCTAGCTAGGCCTGTCAGTCAAAAAAACCCCACTAATCAGGGTTTGACTCCCAGGCTCTAGCTCTCAAAAAAACCCTCACTCAGGCTCCTGCCCCTCTGTGGTGCTGGGGTCTACTCACCCCCGAATACTGTGCCTTGGTGCTGGGGTCAGCTCAGCCCTGAATACCGTGCCCTCTCTAGAGCTAGGGTCAGCTCAGACCTGAATACTGTGCCCTTTCTGGTGCTGGGGTCCCCACACTGCAGTGGGCCCCCAATGAGGCCTCCTCCTTCCCCAAATAGCCTCACCCAAACCACCGGTGTTAACCTTAAACAAGAGAGTCAACATGCCTGCTTACTTTAGATGATCATGAGGATGGCTCATGGTGTAGTTTTCTGACAGAAACTGCAGCTGCGGCACTCTAGTCATTGGGAGTCCGCCTCCCGGCTGCCCCTTTGGCCTTCTCCACTTGCCATTTGTAGGGTCCTGGCCTTCCTCTTCCTGTCACCTGACCAGCTGGCAGGGTTTGAGCCTTAAACCCTACTTGATTGGCCGGCCGTGACTGGAAGGTTCTGGACTTAAAGGGACCACCCTGTCTCCTGGTAACAGGGTTAGGGTTCCCTGTTACATATGGTAATATATAAAATTGATTCTACTGCTTCTGATGCAAACCCTACCCTAACCCCTCATCAGAGTGAAAGCCTGGAGATGGAGTGTGAACAAGTGGTTACTGCACAGGCCTGTGTGACAAGACTCTGGAATTCTGTGCTGAGCTCTGGCACTGACTTCAACTGACCTCAGCAAAGTCCCTTAATCGTGCAGTTGGTCTAATAAAAGATATCCCATCTTATTTGCCTATGTCCTTAGACCAACACGGCTACAACCAACAACCTTTAATTGTTCAATGTCTATGTTTCTACATGTAGAAGGCGAGCAAAACTTGTAAGTTCTATAATGTTTTCCCACTTTCCAAGTCAGCTTATTTGTGACTTCCCCAAAACTAGCACTTCTCACTTTTCATTATGGCATGAGGCCTATGACACCCTAGCCCCTAAGGAATTGCTAATGAAACCTTGTTTATTGTATGTTGTTCAGCTTACCACACTTCTGACATTCAAATGGGAAATGTCCTGGTTGGTCCCTTCTAGTCCAGGGGTCAGGACTACCCACTAGCCTAGCTCTGATTGTTCTAGGAGACATATCTTCCACAACTTCTTTTGCAAGATAATTATAGAACTCACCATCAGGAACAGTGTCTGGATAAACAGTCTACATTTTCCTTTGCTTAATTCAACATGTTCTCTTATTTGTAATATTCTATTATGTACCACGACACCATGCTAATTACAGACCGCTGTTCCTTCAGAGTGCAACTTATATAGTTCTATTTCCTACACTGAATATAGTTAGTCCCATAAAATGTGTGCCAATGCACATGTATGCAAGCAAGAAAATTGCAGAGATTCATATGAAGACGAGGCAGGAAGGGAGCTTGAGAGATCATTCAGTCCAGCTCCTTGCTCAAGGCATGGTCATCCCCATCTAAACCATTCTAGGCATATGTTTATCCAAACTGCACTTAAAAACTTTCAATGACAAAGATTCCACAACCTCCCTACATAATCTATTCCTGTGCTTAATCATTCTGGGTGCATCTACACATTCTGTTAAAGCAACGTGATAAGCTCCATCGCAGTCAGCTCCCAGGTGCAACGTCTGTACATGCGCCTGGGACCACAGCAGTTTGAGATGAGGCAGAGAAGCCCTGGGCTGACAGGGGGCCTGAGGGGTCAGCCCTGGGCTCCGAGTGGCAGCGGCAGGCAGCAGAGGGGCTGGCTGGGGTGTGAGGGTCCTAAAGTGTGGGGTTAGGCATCAGGTAGGCCCTGCACTTTAGCATCCTTATGCCCCAGCTAGCCCTTGTCACCATTTACATGTGCCTTTCAGTACATATAATTACCCCATTGTAGAACAGTACTGTCCCCAACAATACTATCCTATGGTGGAGTTAATTAATTTACTGACCCCTAATACTGGCACATGTATAGACAGTGACATTTTACTGCAGAGCTAATTAGTCAACTCCGCAGTAAAATGCATGCTTAGACGCACTCTCTGAGTTAAAAAGTTTTTAATATGTAACCTGAATCTTGTTGATTGCAGTTTTAGCCTATTACTTCTTGTCCTGTCCCTCAAAATAACCAATCCTCCTGCTCTTTATAACGTCTTTTTATATTTGAAGATGTATCAATGGCTCAAAGTCTAGTTGGCAGTCAGTATCAAGTTGAGTGTCCCAGGGGTTAATCCTGGAACCGGTTTTGTTCAATGTCTTCATCAACAACCTGGAAGATGGCCTACAGTGCACCCTCAGCAAGTTTGTAGATGACGCCAAGCTGGGGAGAGTAGTAGATACGCTGGAGGGTAGGGCTAGGATTCAGAGCATCCTGGAGAAATTGGAGGATTTGGCCAAAAGGAATCTCGTGAGGTTCACCAAGGACCAGTAAAAAGTCCTGCACTTAGGACAGAACAATCCCATGCACCAGTACAGGCTGGGAGCTGACTGGCTAAGCAGCAGCTCTGCAGAAAAGGGAGGCATTACAGTAGGGGTTACAATGGACGATAAGCTGAATATGAGCCAGGAGCGTGCAAATGTTGCCAAGAAGGAATGCCAATAGCATTCTCGGCCATATTGGTAGATGTGTTGCTAGTAGAGCAAGATAAGTGATTATTCCCCTCTATTCAGCACTGGTGAGGCCACATCTGGAGTAGGGTGTTCAGTTTTGGGCCCCCCACTACAGAAAGGATGTGGACACATTGGAGAGAGTCCAGCATAGGGAAACAAAAATGGTGAGGGGGCTGGAGAACATGACTTTTGAGGAAAGACTGAGGCAACTGGGTTTATTGAGTCTAGAGAAGAGGAGACTGAGAAGCGACTTAATAGCAGCCTTCAACTACCTGAAGGGGGGCTTGAAAGAGGATGGACTGTTCTCAGTGGTGGCAGATGACAGAACAAGGAGCAACGGTCTCAAGTTGCAGCAAGGGAAGTTTAGGTTAGATATTAGGAAGCATTTTCTCACTAAGAGGGTAGCAAAACACTGGAACAGATTACCCAGCGAGGTGGTTGAAGCTCCATCCTTGAAAGTTTTCAAAACATGGCTAGACAAAGCTCTGGCTGGGGTGATCTAGTTGGGGATGGTCTTGCTTTAAGCAGGGGGTTGGACTAAATCCTGAGGTCCCTTCCAACCCTAACTTTCTATGATGCTATGATTCTATGTATGAAATTCCTTCATCCTTCTCTTCTCTATACTCAGTAATCCCAGTTCCTCATACATCCTGATTTCTAGATCTCAATTTTTTATTGTTACTCTCCTCTATACTCTTTTCAATTTATTCACATCTTTTTTAAAGTGGAGTGCCCACAACTGGATATTGTAATCCAGGTGAGGCCTCACCAGTGCCAAATACAGTGGAAGAATTTCTTCCAATGATTTTCATATGACACTCCTGTTAACAGATCCCAACTTGAAATGACCTGTTTACAACAATACTACACTGCTGACTCTTATTCTGCTTGCAGTCCTCTATAGCCCTCATGCCCTTTTCTGCAATACTGCTGCTTTGCCAACTGCTCCCATTTTGTATTTGTGCATGGACCTAACAAAAAAAGGAAGATGGAAACTGAGGAATTCCTCAGAGAAAAGTCCTAAAACCCTGCTTACAATGAAGTGATAGTGCCTCTTTATTCAGTATTGATTAGGCCTCATCTAGAGTATTCTGTACAGTTTTGGGCTTCACATTTTAAAAAGGACATGAAAAAGTCAGAGATGGTCCAGAGGTGGGCAACAAACATAATAAAGGGCTTGTAAATCATATAAGGAAAGGTTGAAAAAAAAAGGCATGTTTAGCTTGCAGCAAAGGTGTTTAAGAGGGGACATGATGGAAGTCTTTAAATACCTGAAGGGCTACCATAAAAAGAGGGGAAAAGCCTTTTCTCTCTTGCTGCAGAGAGCAGAGCATAGACCAATAGTTGAAGTTACAGCAAAGTAGGTTTAGATACCAGGGGAAAATTATCTGTTAGAATTGTGAGGCAGCGGAATAGACTGCCTAAGAAAGGTATTTCCTTCTGGATTTCCTTTCCTTCTTGGTGGCACTCAAGAAGAAGCTGGATAAGACACTAGTCAAGTAGGTTCTAGGAGTAGCTATGTCTGTGCTTTGCATGGGTATTTACCATGGTTCTGGACTTTGCTGGTTGTCACAAGAGGCTGAGAAGTAGTTTTTCAGCTGTCATGTTACTATATGTGCAGAGGGTTGAGGGGGTTTGTTCTCAGATGCATTAGGTCAACGCTTCCCAAACTTTTCCTCAGCATGACTCCATTTCCTCAGCATGGCCCCTCACTCCCACCTTGCAGCCCCCTAGCCCTGCCAGTGCTCCTTACTCCCAAACCTCAGCCCCCGACCCGTGCAGGTGCCCTAGAACCAGGGCCCGCAGCCCTCTCCCCACCCCCGCAGCAGCATCCGAGCCCCAGCTGCTGCCTCCAGAAGGCAGCAGCTGCTGCAGCTGGGGCGGG